TTAAATAGTAAAAATATTTCACAATATTACTGTTTTTGCTGTACTTTGTACTTGTACTTTTAAAAAAACGTACTGCTCAAAAACTTTTGATATTTGGAATAAAGATTTTTACACGTTTTTAAAAAAAAAGTCTTTAAAATTCAACAAGGCTGCATTTATTTTAACAAAAATACTAGAAATACTTGAACAAACATACTAGTAAATACTAGAGGTCGACCGATGTATCGGTTTTGCCAATTAATCGGCAACAATAGTTGATTGGCGGAACTATCAGTTATCAGCAAAAATCCATGCTACGATAGTTTTTCCTGGTTGCGTCCGTTGCTGGAGCAGCTGAAGCTACGCTGTCATTATACAGTATGAGAGCGAGTATACCTGCGAGTTTTTTTTTTGCCCGGTGTGTGACTGCCGTCTTATGTTATTTTGATTAGATAATCATCAAGTGTTCTAGAATAGAAGCAGTTAAACTGTGAGAGTACACATACAATATCCATATGTATGTCATTTCAATGCTATGGCCTTTGTGTAGATATTTAAAGATGACCATCTTTAGATATGAATTGGTAACACTTTACAATAAAGAATCCATTTGTAACAGTAACTAATATTGATACAAGCTGTAGAATAGAAGTAGAGTGTGTTAATTTAAACATTTACGGATATATTTGTAAATTTTGAAGTTGGTTTTGTTAACATGAATGAACTATGAACTAACTTTAATGATCAATATATAATTAATATTAATACTTTTATTCATTTACAAAGTATGGTTCAGTACTTTTTTTAAATAGTAGAGCACTATTTTAGTTTCCATTCAGTATAATTTGAAAAACTATCAGTTGATTAATCGGTATCGGCCAGTGTGGTCCAACCTAGCTATCGGTATCGGTAAAATCCACTATCGGTTGACCTCTAGAAAAAACAATAATATTGTGAAATGTTATTAATAACAATTATTCATAATTACCCCATCCGCGTCGCTTGGCCTTGGGGTTTTTTTTTTTTTTTTTGCGACTAAGCGACTATTACAATTTTGGCCGACCAAGCCTCTTCTGGTCAACTAACGGTTAGTCGACTATTAGGGGGCAGCCCTAATAATTAATATTAAGACTGTTATTAATTTACAAAGTATGGTTCAGTACTTTTTTTAAATAGTAGAGCATTATTTTAGTTTCCATTCAGTATAATTTGAAAAACTATCGGTTGATTAATCGGTATCGGCCAGTGTGGTCCAACCTAGCTATCGGTATCGGTAAAATCCACTATCGGTTGACCTCTAGTAAAAACAATAATATTGTGACATGTTATTAATAAGCATGATTCATAATAACCTGGTCTGCGTCGCGGCGCTTGGCTTTGGCGAAGCTGCTGATGAGGAGGCGCGGGAGGCTGTGCTGCTGTGGATCTGGACGTTGCACCAGCAGCAGGTTCTCCATGCACAGATCTCGATGCGTGACGCCGTGCGCTTTCAGATGCTCCAGACCCGCGCACAGCTGCAGCAGCAGAAAACACACGCGGCGCTCGTAAACCTCCGGCTGCGCGCGGTGGAACGACTCCCACTCGCGGACGAAATCTGCCACGCTCTGGTGCGGGACGTCCCGGGTGATGACCACCACGCACTCCTGCTCGGCCGGACCGCTCTCCTCGCTGGGTAGCATGCTCCGCGGCACGCAGGCGATGAAGTGACCGCGGTCCTGCTGCAGATTGAAGTGAGACGGGATGCTCTGCTGCACCGAAAGACCGTACAGATGAACCTGCTTACTGTCCGGAGCCTGGCCTTTACAGATCTGACCAACACACAGAGAAAACAGACACGCTATGATGTTAAATGTTAATTCACAATTTCCTTACCATAAATAAAATATATATTTGGAATAATTAAGAATTTTTTATATTTTTAAATAAAGCCTTTTATGTTCAGCAAAGCTGCATTTATTTGATAATAATATTGTGAAATAATATTAATAACAATTATTAATAAAATTGATCTATTATTAAAAGCTTTCCATTAGTATTGTTTATTATTATCAATATTTAAAACAGTTTTTGCTGCTTAATATTTTTGTGGAAATATTTAATTCTGGATTCTTTAAAGAATATAAAAAAACTACTGTCACTTTTAATCAATTTAATGTCTTTGCTAAATAAAAATAAATAAATAAATAAAAAATAAATATATATATATAAGGACAAATTAAATTGATATAAATTGGCAGTAAAACATTTATAATGCTACAAAAGATTTATATTTCAAATATACGCTGTTCTTGTGAACTTTCTATTCATCTGTGAATCCTGAAAAATAAAATGTGTTACAGATTCCACAAAAATATCTGTTTTCAACATTGATAATAATCAGAAATGTTTCTTGCGCAGCAAATCAGCATATTAGAATGATTTCAGCGGTTTATAAATGCAGCCTTGGTGAGCAGATGAGACTTCTTTCAAAAAAACGTATTTATTCCAAACCTTTGACGGTTAATTTACAGTATATATGTGACTCTGGAGCACAAAACCAGTCATAAGGGTCAGTTTTTTTGAAATTGATATTTATACATCATCTGAAAGCTGAACAAATAGATTTCCATTGATGTATGGTTTGTTAGGATAGGACAATATTTGGCCGAGATTCAACTATTTGAATATCTGGAATCTGAGGGTGCAAAAAAATCTAAATATTGAGAAAATCCTCTTTAAAGTTGTTCAAATGAAGTTCTTAGCAATGCATATTACTAATCAAAAATTAAGGTAAAACATTTACAAAATATCTTCATGGAACATGATCTTTACTTAATATCCTAATGATTTTTGGCATAAAAGAAAAATCAATAATTTTGAATGTGAGCCAAAATCATCACAATTAAAAGAACCAAAGACTTAAACTACTTCAGTCTGTGTGCACTGAATTTATTTACTACACGAGTTTCACAATTTGAGTTGAATTACTGAAATAAATGAACTTTTCCACGACATTCTAATTTATTGAGATGCACCTGTATATATATTCTCTGACCTTGACGGCGTATGTGTTTCGAGTGTCTGACGCGCAGGAGGCTGAGTAATACACAGCGTCTCCGGACAGACAGCAGGGTTTGTTGCAGGTGAGTTTGAAGAGTGACCAGTTGCTCTCGTCGAATCTCAGCGTGTTCCTCTGGCCGCTGGAGAAATGCTCCTCACACTTGAGTGCGAGCCGCCGCAGAGACTCGGCGTACAGGCCGCCCAGTTTGGAGTAGATGCCCTCGCGGCTGTCCATGTTCCTGAGCAGCGCATGCAGATGCAGCGTGTTGAGCTGCGGAGACGAGCAAGACGTCACATTCCCCAGACGCGGGCGAGAACAGGCGAGCGGTTTGACGCCAGAGTCGCTCGGAGCCGAGGTGGTGCGGTTCACCAGCTTCTTCTGTGGTAACGGAGGCGGCTGGAGCTGATTGGCCAGGCTGGTGCAGGGAAACGCGTCGGGCTGTGGAGATGAAGGGGCGGAGCCAAGCGGGCTGCTGGGGAAAGGGGAGGGGATGGAGTGGAGGGTGGAGTCTAGATCACATGACCAGAAGAAAAGAGCGAGGGAGAAGAAATAGTTAATTACTTTTAGTCGAAATGAAAAAAAAAATTATATTAACCGAATTAAAAATTGTTTAATGGCATGACTGGGTTTACATAATATTTATACAATACATAATTGATATATACAATATTTATACAACATTGACAAAAAACTTTACACAAAACAAGCAATAGCGAAAAATATATATATAAAAAATATAGAAAATAAAATAAGGTGTTAAGTAATTAATAAAAATAAATAAATGAATACGTTTAAAAAATGTATACATTTATTTGTCTTTTATCACAGTGTTGCTGTCATTCCACATAGAAACACAACTGTGATTGGCTGTAAAATATTGAATTGAAAGCAAGTTTGAAAGATCTGCTCTATATCAGATTCATAATCAGAGTTCAGAATCAGTGAATCATATGATTGTGATTTCTAAATGATTCCTGTCAGACAATCAGGAGAATTAAAGTGTTCAGTAAAATGAAACTGTTCATGTTCCTCATTTCTGTTTCTGCATTCTAACACAACACTCGCACACACTCATGCTTACACACACTCACTCACGGACTCACTCAAGCACACACACACACACACACACACACACACACACACACACACACACTC